AAAAAAAACTTTCAAATTACTTTATTTTAATCATTATTCTATTTATTTATTTATTTACGTAATTTAATAACTATTAAACTAATTAAGGAAGCAGTTTTACAACAAAAATATGCTTTGCAATGGGATCTGATGGAAAATGGGTTCCGGCATCATGTATTGGTACAGCATACTTCGTCTGTGAACTATCTCTGGGTCAGCCATTGATTCGTATCCATTTATCGTTATCTGTTGATAGATGTTCTATTTAACATTTGTAAAATTTAGTCTTAACAGTTTTTTGGCATTAATGTATCTGCAGGTCTCAGTTCGGACTGTAGTCCGTATGCATCAAAAGAGCCTGGAAGACGGATAATTGAGTTGACAGATGGTACTCTTGCAGAAACTTATTGTGACAAAGGATTAACAGTTATTCAAAGGTCATTTCGGCTAATCAGACTTTAAATTTCACAAAAAACAATTTGTTCTTAAATTTTTGAGGCTAAAGTTAGTGTATGTACAAGGCATTTTTTAAAAAAAATGTTAGACAAGTAACTTAGTTTTACTTTTTTTTTATTAGAAGTTAAATGGTATCAGTTGGATGAATGAGATCTGTAAAAAAAAAAGATTTTTTTTATCCTAATATATTTCACTTAAATAATGCATTTTAGTCGTGGCGAAGAGAAATTTGAGAGCTTTGATAGAAGTTATGAACAGTATGATGAGCACTTTGGTACACCAGGAAAAAATACAAACTTCTGGTTTGGTCTAAGACGGATGAGAACTTTGATTGGAGCAAGTGGCAAATATGATATGGCTATACAGGTTTGCTGTGGTAATCAGCCAGGCATGACCACTTATGTTCAACATATCAAGGTAAAATTATACTGCTTGCCAAAAAAAGCAGCCTAAAAAGTTTGGTTTACAATTTTTTCTGTGTCTTTTGCAATTAATTATTTGTTATTTAGAAAAAATAATTTTTTCGTTTTTTCAACATTTAATTAATTTTTTAAAATTAAGAACTTTCTTCTTCTATTTTTCTATTTTGCAGCTAAGCGGTAAAGACAAACAATATCAACTTGACGGTACTGCAAGCGGTGAATCTGGGTTACATTATTCTAATGTTAGAACCGATCTGGGTTCACCATTTGCCACTTTTCACACACTTGGCGATGGAAACAAGTACTGTGATGTTTTGAACACTTACAATGGAAATATTAAAGAGGGAAGTGGGTAAGTGTTGGTCATGATCGCCTTAATTTTCTGTTTTTCTTTCTTTTTTTGTCTTTTTTTTGCCTCTAAAAATGTTTTATTGCTTCACTAAAGTATTAAGTTTACTTTACTTGTAAAATACGGGTACTTTCACTGTTGATCAGACTTAGGCGACTTTATCAAGTGCAAATGTACCGTTCACTTATGATTATCAAATGGTGCCATCACGTCATCCAAACACAATTTAAAGCACAGACATTATACATTTGTTTCTAAATTTTATTCTAATCTTGTTGACTATTATAGTGTGTGCTTAGAATGATGTCATTAATAAGCTGTTATTTGTAGCGTTATCTTAATCGACAAAGCTTAACATAGGCATAAGACGAGCTTTATTTTTTGCTGAATTTCATTATATTTTTCTTCCCCCTCTGAATTCCAAATAACGACTGATCTAACAAAAGGTTTTTTGGTTGTTACTCATGGGTAAAGAAGAAGAAAAGATTTTTCACAGATTTCTCAACACTTTTTTCATGCAATGCAGAAGTAACATGATTTTTTAATCAAAATGACGACACTTTTTTATTGATACGTTGCTAACTGGGTTTAGATACAGGAATCAGTATAAAAATGTTTGTTTTTCCAACTATAAAAAAATATTTTTATGACAGCATTTTTCTGTGAAATCAGTTAAAATCAACAAATATTTAAAAGCTTTCTTCTTTTTCAGCGGATTTTGGTTCGGAAGTTGTACTAACAATTTGAATGGTTATTATTATAAATATGGCTCTAAATATTATAAAAATCCAGCCAGATGTGAATTAGACCTGTAAGTTTTTTCCATCTGCAATTCTTCTTTACTTTGAGTTTTGTAAAACTACTTTTAATTTTACAATATTCTTTAAAATTAGGTGATTTATCAGTAACCTGGATGATTTAAATGAGGAATAATTCAATATAAAACTTTTTTTTTAGAAGCAACACTGAAATTAGTGATTATGACTTTTTTGTCAAAGTTTTGCCACAACAAAGCATTTTATTGACTTCTATTGGTTTATCTTTTCATAGACGTTCGAGAAAATTTTTTAATGTAAAATTTTGTAAAGCAAACAAATTACAGACGCCTGCTTACAAAAATTTTGATGAAATTTATGTGCTAATAACTATAAAATATTGTCTAAAAATGGCGAAAACTTTGTACTAATCTTTTTTTTTATTTTTAGTCAACAAATGGAGAAACATGGTACTGGTATAGAGATTCGTACAGATCGTTCACCGACCAATGGCACTTATCAGTTTGATGGTGTTTCATGGACCAGAGCAAGAATGGTGATCTATCCGTCGGGGATGAGCATAGACATGCAAGCCAATAGCAGAGATTACTGCGCAGATTTTAATCCCACTGCTTAATCCATTTTTGTGGTGAATATTGTCCAAAAAACGGTTTTTTTCAAAGAGGAAAAGTTTGTTTTGGTTATAGAAAGTGTTCTGTTGTTGCTCGGTTGAGTGACTGAACATTTCTAAACTGAAAAAACATATAAGATGAACGAATAAATCAATGCATCGTTGACTGGCTTACTGCTTGGCTGATTAATTAACTGAGCAAGCTGAACAAAATTTTATCTAGCTCTTTCTTCTAGAAGCAATGAGAATTGTTTCGACACTTAGCTGTCAGAAGGTGGGAAAAAAGTGACGGAGAAAGCATCAATAATTCCTTGTTGTTTACTCTTGAATATATATCAGCTAAAAAAAACTTAACCTTGACATTTTACAGATTTTATAAATGACATTATTGTTTTTGAAGTACTTTATGAAAAAAGAAAAAGCGAAAGCTATTATATAATAAATTTGACAAAAACAAGAAATTTTATCACAACCAGCACTATAATGGTAGTTCGCGTTACTCTTTCAACTGTCGGAGTGGTCCTCGAGTAACATCAGTTTTTCCTCTGTACTCAGAAACTATGCATCTTTTTATATTTATGTTTAGTGTATCTTCGTCTTCTAGAAGAATAAAGAAGGTAACATTGAGCTTAAAATTATGAGTCCTTTCTCTGGTTTCTATCATAAAAACGAATCGACCTTTTACAGCATTGTGAAATTTTCTCGCTGTTTAGAGTGTGACCTTAATAAACAACACTAAATTCTTCAAGACCGCTCTGGTGCTTAATAATCAAACAGTGAGGAGCGCAAAAGCTGATTATATAATAATAAAAAGATAGCAAAACATTCCCCCTGTAGTCTCAAATTCTTATAGCTTGGATATATTTTGCAACAGCGTCTTACTACTGCTGAACTTGTTTTGTATTTAAGAGCGGAATGCAGGCTATTTACGCAGCACCAAACTAATAAAAGGTAGTCCATTTCCAAATACTTCCACAGAAATTGGTAATTCAGTTAGTTAATTCACAACGAGGAAGGTCTGTCTAGGTGATCCGAGCACAGAACGACAAAAAGTGTATGAATTACACAGCGGCAAGAAAAAAAAGGAGCAAAGAACAGCTGCTTTTGGCATTTGTGCTTTTGGCTGTCAGTTCTTATAAGAAAAATCCGTTTTGAAACCCATTTGCAATTTCTCAATTATCTGTATAGGTCTTTTATGGCTTTGTTACGGCTACAAATACAAAAACACTTTTGTTGTTTATTCTCCTCTCTTCTTCTTCGAAATTACCAGAAAGTTTCAAGTAGAAACTACAGAACAATATGCATTACTCCCTTTTTGCAGCGCAATCAGCTCAAAAAGAAATTAATTTAAGCTGACCGTTTTTTGAGCCTATTTATAATCTGGAAAATTATTCAGATAAAAAGCGATAGTGTCAACGGAACCCCTGCCTAGAAGAGCAACTTATAACGTATATGCAGCCTATAAATATATCTCAATGGGAGACTACGAGAATAGTCGATAAGAAACATCTTATGAGCTTTTGTTGAGCGAATAAACTGCTGCTTTCGGTTTTAGGCTTGTTCACATATCAGAACACTTGAACGATTGTTAAAAGAATAAATTTGACAATTTGCAGTGTCGCACGTTTTATTTGTTGCAAGAAATTTAATTTGGTAAAAAAAATGTAGACATCTATGACCAGAAAATTTTTGCTGGTTATTGGCTTCAGATATTCACCGCTTTTTTTAGTAAACTCTAAGCTCAGGTTTAAAAATCTGAGGAGGTAACCTAATAAGGTAAATTCAGTTACTAGTGCGACTTTGTGAAAACGATAGCTTTTAGCTCAACAAGAAAATGAGAAAACTTTGTTAACTCTTGTTGAAAAAATATTACTGTTTAATTGTTTCTAAAAACTTGCCAGGTTGCCGCCTGACACGCTTTTGCACACTTGTAGCTTACTTTCTCCGGAATAAAATTTTGTAATTTTTGGTCTGTTGAATACAGCTTTTCTTCTGTCTTCAAATATGTACTAAATCTTTTAATTTAGCCAAACAGTTGTTAAAAACAGAACTTCAAAATTCAAATAAATATAAAAAAAAATTTGAGGAGATAACTCCACATATCTTTAAATCAGGAAAAGTATCTTTTGTAAAATTTTCTGCTTTACTGCATATCAAAAATTGATGATATTGTTTTTTTTAGGGCCGAGGGTTACGGACCGGAAAAGAGCGGGAGGTTAAAGATAAATGACTGTTTTTGCAAAAGTTGCACTTATTTTACAACGACAAGACCGCCTTTGGCAGATTTTGGAAGCCACAAAAAACAGCAATGAGAATTTAGCATGTTTTATTTTTTAAAGATTTATTTTAAGAATTTTACACAAAAACATTCCTAGATTATTATTCTACAGAGTTGTAAACAGCAACATTTACCCCAGCGTATTCTGCTTCTGGCAAAGTGCGCTCGACTGAGAATGTCATTTATGAAAGAATTGGCTCACAAAACAGGAAAGCACCAATACTGCTCGCTGACAATATGCGCAGAATAGTTTGCTTTGTAGGTGAGGTTTACAAGGGAAACCAGAATTTCCATATCAGTGTTTGAGAGTTTGGCGAATAAAAAGACTTCTAAGCTGTTCGAAACTCTCTGAAGTTTACTTGACAGAGTTTTAGTATATGAGCAAACAAGAGTTCGACGCTGCCACCTTCTTCTGAAGTCATGTGCTTTAATTCTCTAAATAGGCTAGGCTACGAACAATTTGAAAAACAGTTGCAATCTGCATTTAACTGGCCAAAGCAATAGGTTTTCAGACTTTTTTTGACTGCAACTTATGTACAAGCTACGCGACTTTGACAGAGAGAAGACGAAGAAGAGACGAACAGTGCAATAAAAACTTCTTTTTTTACAACTTAACAGAATAATAATTTGTTAATGTTTTCCTGTAAAATATAACTTTTGTAAAAAATTTTCATTAAAAAATAAAAAATACCGAATTTTGATAGCCACGCTTAGAAACAACTAAGAACGGTTTTGAAACTGCAAATAAGTAGATTTTGGTGAAAGTAATGAATTATTTCCGGTTTCACATTTCTTTCCGGTTTGTAATTCTCATTTCGAGAAAGAAATAACCACCAACAATTTTCTGTATTTTATAGAGCAGAAAAGTGTATATAAACTTTTTTTTTTAAAGTTTAAAATACGTTTTTTTACACATTTTTGGACACTCGTTTTCTTTCTGCTTATTCAGCAGCTACAACTGTTCAAAAGAATTAGATTACTCAATATATTTTGAAACTAGAAAACAGAAAAAGTCTATTAAACTAAAAATTACTAAACTTTATTAAGAAGAAAATTATTCAGTTTCATCATTAAATTTTCTGCATTACAAATTTGCAAAGATAGGCACACTAAGCAGCAACCTAGCAAGCCTTTGAAATTGAAAGAGGTGCAACTGGTAAGGACTTTACCTTCTCCAATTCTATTTTTAGTTTCTTACATCTAGACTTGAACTCTATCAGTTAGCAAGATTTAAAAAATATTTTGAGATATGAAGTGAAAAAAAGGTGTTAACTGGCAGGAAACAGCTCGTATATGAACCGTTTAGTAATTCTTTTTCTGCTTTTTCACTTCGTTTCGCAAAACTGTTTCAAGTTCTTCTTTGCAGCAAAGGTTATACCCGGTTTGAAAAAATAGCACTAAAAGAAAACAAAAAAGCGTTTCTTTTTTTCGACAAATCGCAGTCTCAAAATTGTCAGGTTTTTTCTTGAAGCATCAGTGTTTTCAGACTTTTATTTCTAAAAAACTGAAGCGAAACAATACTTTCGTCATTTGCTGTTCTTTAAGTCTTCTTACATTCAAATGCACTGTAGCATTTTATTTCGTTGACCAGGAAAATAGGTGCAAAAAAAAAACAAAAATTCAACAAAACGGGAGAAAAGTGGCTATTTCAATTTTGAAACAACGTGTTGCGGGATTTTTTCTTTACACCGTGCCATAGTTTAGTAATTTTCTTCTTATGAGGCCAAAATCTATATGGAATGAAGTAGAACAAGACGGTTAAGACTGTCATGTCGCTGTCATGTTTGCTTGGATTTGAAGAAGACAGAACAACTGTAAGCTGCTGAATTCGTAGATGAAACAGTGAACAAACAGATGGGAATACGGAGGTATGTATGTCTTAACCGCTAAAGGTTTGTTCCAGAAAATTGCAAGACATAGAAAAGTGTTGGCGAATTGCTTTTACATAGTTGACAAAAAATTTGTGCTTTTAAAGCTTAAATTAAGAAAAAAGTCTCTTCTAGTACTGAAGACTTCTAGTATTTATGAAATGAACTAAACAGATCAGATGTTAATAGTGGCTCTTAGAAGCGCCTGAGAACGAATTTTCTTATGTAAATTGAGTTTCAGTCGGAAAGAAAGTGAGAAGACTGTGATGTATTGTAAACCGAAAGTTCCTTACAAATCTTCAAAAACTGGTTAAGCAGAAGAGCTTTTCATATTATTTGAAATTCTGTTTTTGCTGTATCTATCCATCTATCTGACGGTCTCTAAAAGTATAATAATTTCTAGAACCAGAAGACACGTAGAAATTAACGAAATAAGAAAACGCTAAGTGTTACTTATGTTCACCTCAAGTACAAAATCTGTTGTCACAAATAAAACACTATTCAAGAGCAGATTTAGCTTAACCTTTCAGTAACAATATTAAATAAAAAAATTTGTCTACTGCACAAACACTGTAATCCTCAAGGATTGTAAGTCTGAATAATCTCAAAAGTTGCTTTACTTTTTAGAACTTCTATCAAATTTGGTAACTCAACTGTAGGTGCCTCAGACTTTGCCGGAAACGTTTTAGCAACTTGTGATAAAATTTCTTCTCTTTCTTCTGACGTCTCAACACGCACCTCGTTCGATAGTCCAACTAATGATCTGTCAACTGTCTTTTGTTCCTCAAGTAGCGTCTGTTAAAAATTTACTTCTTCAATGAACCCCAATATGCCTCATTCTCTCAAGTGACCTGGTTCCG